GATTAAAATAGCCCAATTGCTTTTACAATAAATAAACATTGAATGTGTTTAATTGAATAGGAAAGGGGTTTAACGTTAGTGGCAGGTTGTGTGTGAGAGAATAAATAAGACAGCCCAATATTTTAAAAAAAATCTTCTTTTTCGCAACTTTCCGCATATTTCGCAATTTCACCGCATAAAATCACATCGCATGTTTAATCGCATAATCAAGGATTTTTGCCCGCGTTTTTCTGGAGGGTCTAATAATGTTTTCAACAAGTACAATGTCATATCTATGTGTGTCTTGTGTTCCTATGAAGTATCAGGGTAAATGAGGAGCCCATTCATGAAAATAGATCCTAGAATGACTCATTTACATATTTAAACCTAATATAATATATAACAGCTAAATAAATCCTCAAATGCTGGAAGGGAGGCATGGCAGTCACAATGGAAAGGGTGAAGATACAAATGAAATAAACTCGATAACTGTCTTTGTGATTTGCAGATGTCACAACAGAAGAGCATTGATTTTAAAACCTTTCAGACATTCAAGGCTTTTTCGAACCTTTTTATCCGTATCATTTCAGACAACTTTTAAAGACTTGGTAAGGACCGGCTGAAACCTTGTTTTAAGACATCATCTCCATCCCAATAGAAAAAATACCTTAAAAGGTCACCTATCATGCAATTAGCCAATAGCATGGGTCTCAGATTTATAAAAAACATGTCTATGAAGTGTTTTGCTCAAAATACCAAACAGATCACCCATTCTAGCCATGCCTCATACCCCTCTATTTCACTTCCTGTTACTAAAGTGCTGATTCGGGGTATAAAGCTTTAAAAAAAAAGCTGGGGGGGCGGAGCTTATGCCGGCTCATGCGGGATCCGGTCTAAAATAAATGCTGCGGTGATGAAACGCCAAAACCACATCAAGGGTTATTTCTGAAACAGTATGGAGCTCAAAGGCTTTCTCTCGTGCCGGTTATACCACAAGGTGAGTTCCTTTTTACTTCCTGCTTCTTCACACACATGCTCTCCAGTACAGGTTAGCTCTGAGTGTTAGCGATGCTAATCTAAACAAAGACCATATTACGTCCAAAACACGTCGAGCATTGATTCGGATAGCGAGTTTCTGATAGGGCCGTGGGTGCCATCCGATATAACTTCATATCGGACGCAAATCTGGATCAGCTCCGTTGTACCCCTGTTTTCAGAGATTTGCACACAGAGGAAAAGAGAGAGGGTTTTATTTTCTGACACTTTGTGAGTTCCCCGACACACCGCGTATTTATGTATAAAAGACATCAAAAGGTGCATTTTGCATGATAGGTCCCCTTTAATAACAATAAAGTTATTTTCTTTCTTTGTGTAACATCACTGTTTTTTGACTGCACTGAAAATGTTGCTTTTGAAAGGAAAAACACAAATAACACAAATATGGATACTTAATTAGCCTGTTGTGAGTTTTCAAAAATAAATACACCTGTCCCGATTTAGGAAAGGTTGACTTTACAGGGCTCTGGAGTTATTGTAAATAAGCTTACTTTTAATTCTTGTTAGCTGTAATTTGGTCCTTCATTGTGTTTGTTTGACAGACAGTCTTTCACTGTCGACTTGTATATATTCAACTCTGTAGTTCCGTTTCATTTCCTATTTTGAGATGTTGATATTGTTGTTTATATTTTCACATGCGGTGCAATGCCTCGTTGTAACGTGCCTATGACGCAAACAAATTAATAATTGGTATCGATAAAGTTAATCTGATCTTATCTTAGAAATGTTTGGATAAAATATTATAAAATACTTGTATTAATTAGTGTAGCTTTGAAGTTTAAACACCACGTGTAAAAAAACAATGAAAGTCCACGCTATGAAAGAAGCTTCTTCCTATTCGGTTCACTTTTCAAAGTTAACATCAGAAGCAGTTTCCTACCTGATTTGACTGGTTGGTGAGATACGGCTCAAAGTCGTTATCGTGCACTGTGTCCTTCTGGTGGAGGGAGCCATTCTGCACGGAGACTGGGAACGCTGCAACAAAATGAATCACACTGTAGTCAAAACTGAAATCTACACCTGCAGGATTCCCAAACACACCTAATGATGGTGAATCCTGACATATCTGCACAGCTGGAGGTACATCCCAGAACCCTGCTTTAATAACCTGCTCTAGTTAGCGTGCATCTCTTCCTCTTATGGCTGCAGTTATAGTCTTGGAGTGAAACAGAAGTGTGGGGGTGTTCCGTGTTGTACAGAGATGTAAATAGATGTTTCTGTCTGCAGGATAAACACAACCTTTGGAGATTTGACCTTTTCAAAAGTGCAAGGTGTTTCCATTGATGAGCTGACGATGTATGTTCGCTACTGCATTAAATAAGACATTTGAACACAGGGAGGACATGAGGCATCTGTTCATACAGGATTGTGAGTCTCTTCTCTTACCTTTGCTTGCATCTTGTCCTTTCGATGTCTTCATGGCCACAATGAGAGGATGGAAGCATGTGAAAGGAGAAAACACAACACATGCATGGGTCTATAATGCACTGTACAAGCAGACACAAGAAATGCAATACATATTTTATATTTTGTCATTAACAACACCACTGAATGCACTGCTGTCCTGGGAGTGTTCTGCTAATTGAAAAGGGACACAGTGCCACAGAATAAGAGACTGCTGCTGCAACATGCATTTGGTTTTCATATCCACCTACATCTTCTGTGTGAAGAAACATGTTTAATTAGTAATGTTGTTTTTAGTCTAGCATAATTGCACTGCTGCATTATGGTTTCAAATGTGCAGGAAAAGCATGAATTATAAACATTGTCGTTAATTTTCTATATATAAATATTCCTTATACACAGTTATCGCTCACCTATGAGTTTGTACATAATTATTAAAATGCCTATGTATTTCATTTGTCTTATGACCCTATTTATTTGTATTTATTTTTTGTAATGGCTTTCTTTTTTTTTTATAGTTTCTATGTATAATTATTTTATAATTTCTATGTATTTTAAGTTTTATTTTACAAGCCATGTGTAATATGCTCTATACACTTTCTGTATTGTCCTCGTATTCAATTCATTAATGTTCTTTTGGGTCCTTAGTTTAAGGTAAATGCAGCAGTGTGTAGCACTTTATATTTCAGATTTTTTTATCAATGTTATTACTAACTCTTAAATGGTTTCTGTATCCTCGGGGAAACAGTCTTATATGGGTCTAATAACAGTCTAATAAGGGTGTAATAGCAGTGTAAAAAGGGATGTAATACTAGTGTTATATGGGTGTAATAACAGTGTACTATGGGTGAAATAACAGTCTTATTTGGACGTATAATACACCCATATATGACTGTTATCACATATTATTATAAATAATGGTGAAATATGGGTGTATTAATGTATTATATGAATGTAATGTAGAAAATACCAATTCAAAAAAATCACATATTAACCTATCTGCACACTGACATGTTTATATCTGTCCTCTGGGTGTAAATAGACCCTTTTCTCTAACCCACCACCCACTGTTCGCTGTGGTCCAGGCCTGTGGAAAGCTCCAGTGAGGGGGGCAGTTTCACAGCTCACCTCCCCGCTCTGAGAGCCTCCTAGCCCGGCCACACTCCCCCTCACACCTTGCCTCTCAGCGGAGGGATACATCTTAACGGTTTTTCTTACCTGAGGGTCTATACTGGCGGCAGACATCCTTTACCCCACCAGGTGTAGTGCGGTGTGTGTGTATGTGTGTGTTTATGTATGTGTGTGTATGTGTGTGTGTATGTGTGTGTGTGTATTTATGTGTGTGTATGTGTATGTGTATGTGTGTATGTTAATGGCAGTTTAAACAGTCCGTTAGCCGTTAGCAGTGATCCGGTCTCTCAGTTCGGAGGACCGTTTCTTCTCTCCCCGGTGTCTCTGGCTCTCCTCTCTCCGGTCCCGGGTCCTCATGAACTCCGGCGGGGCTTCAGTCCTCTCCGGTCCCCGTTAACTCTCCGGGAGATTAAAGATCCTCCTCCGGTGGCCCTGCTGCTCACTTTGCCCCAATGGCAGCTTCATCCGGGGACTGAAGGGGAGGAAGTGACGTAGGGGACGTAAAAGAAAAGACGCGTTCAAGGCTCAGTGTTGTTTTTTTATGTCGTTTTTATTTATTTTCAATTTAATATTATTAAGGTTGATTAAGACACATTTATTATAACCATACATTCCCTATATAGTCCCTCCCCCTTCCCACCCATCTTGTAATTTCACAGAAATCATACCTGATGTTTGTGCTCAATCGTCTGAGTTCATCTATCTATTATATTGATTATAGCACACACATTTATACAAATCACATACATTCATACATTTTTTCACAACATTTCATCTGTTTAAACTGAATTGAGATTGACTCCTAATAATCTACAATTAATGACCTTTTTAAAGTTTCTTTTTTTAAACGTGTTTATTAAAATCCCTTTTTGGTTTCTGTACCATTTCGTAGAGTAAAGTTAGAAATACTAAAAATCCATCTATCCATCCATCCATCTTCTCGCGCTTATCCGTGGTCGGGTC